GAGCCGGGCAGACACATGGGGAAACAGGAGAGGAGGGTTGTCCGTGTTTGTCAGGGAGGTCAGGGAGACCTTTGTGGAAAGTAATTGCTTGGGAAGCAGGGGAAGGTTAAACACACGCTCTACCACGACAGAAACTACTCCTAAATCTGCAAAATAAACCTAAAAAAAATTCACTGGAGTAGGACAGCTAGGATGGGAATAGACTAACCAAAAATTGTAGAATGTTCTCCTCTAAAGGAGATAACACAAAAATGGGGACGAATGTTCTGGCTTGTCATACAATAAAAGTGAATAGGGACAGTGGCTGAACACATTTTTCTAAACCCCCAAAGTCATCTTTCCCACAGGCATTGAACTATACAGCGTATTCTAACAAAATACATTATTTTAAGCAAAATATAAATTATTTAATGCTGATTTGCTTAGACAATTATGTGGTCCCATAAACAAAAATCAAATAATCACATACTTTCTCAAGCACTTATTCAGTATCCTGTTATCAGTGGTAAGTCATGGTAACATAAATGTCCTGTGAATGATCTATATACCACAGAGGAACACAACCGTAAAACATGAACTTTTAAGTAAAATGATCTGACTTGGCTGCTATCCTTGTGTATCTACTGAGAAATCAAATCGGCAACTGGCTTGAGGCCAATACTGGGTGAAAGCAGGAATTTAAAATAATTGATGTTTGCTCTGTGCTCTCTTTCTAAGATTGCACTGCTTCCTTTAGAGAGCTTATGAGCAGGAGATGACATTCAAGTTTTTTTTTCTGGAAAATACTAATTAAATTATCACCTTCTTAAGCGCCAGGAACTTGTTTGTCATCTGACAATCAGCAGTTGACAGACTGTGACCTTGTCTGTTGAGGCAACGTCATTTCTGAACCAAAGGTAAATCAAGCTGGTACTTTCTAGGTGCTTCAACAGCAGATTTCTGTGAGGATGCCAAATAAAATTTGATTGACTGACTGGCCTCTTGAATACTTGATTTATTGAGGTTGCGCTGAAGAGCTGCACATTTTTATGTTGTGGAAGCATCTTGCTATCGCTACAAGGTAAACAGCCAAGACAGATTCAATTACACCAGGCACATTTTAAACTTCTTAGCATTGCATATCCATACAATCAATGCTAATCACAAAGCAATTTGACTCAGAGATCATGGTCAGGGCTTGTCCCTCAGGACACATCTCTAGAGAATTCATATTGATGCTTTTGCGTGCAAACGTATTTTTGGGAAAGCACAAGTGCATCTTTGTGAGTACCAGGTATGATTGAAAACAGACGTGTTCCTAGATCAACATATTTGGTCCTGGAACAACATTCCTAGATTGAGATATTTATAGATAAGTGGTTAATAAGATGGGGTTTTCAAAAGCAGATTCTTAAACTTCCACATTTGGTCCACGCAATCTCAAACATTTGGTTACATCTAGGGATGCACACAATATTATCGGAACGTTATCGGAATTGGCCGATAAAGGCTTAAAATGTAAACATTGGCCGATTTGAAAAAAAAATGCAGATATGCCTTGCCGATAAGACGAATAGTTCACATGTGCTCAGGTTGTGCTAGCGATAAGATCACGTTAACAGTGTAACTTTTGCCTGAATGATGCTTAGATTCATCAGTGTGCGATTTAGTCAACAGTCACTTAGTCACAGTCATCCTCCCCCGGGTCCTAATGCCCCTCCAGTAAGGCATTTTATTTACTTAGATGGCGCTGTAGGCCTACTTGTAATAAAATGAAATGTAAAATACACAAATAACATTAAGATACTTGTGTTTCTTAATAAATAAAGCTATTATATATTATGAAAACTTCAATACATGGAGCTCTAAAAGATTTTTACAGTTCTTTTGCTTTAGACCATCTATTATATAATAAATAATACAATTTTAGAGGTATCAACTGCATCTGTGTGAAAAAAAGAAAAAAAAAAAACCCCGGCAGAGATTAATTTAATTATAGTTATTTTCGAAGGTTTCAATGTACTCTCATTAAAAAGGAAATTTAATAATGTTTTTAGTTCTAACAAATAGTTTTTTTTACTAAAAAAGTAGGCAAAATTTGAAATAATTTGTTTATCATTTCTGCACAGGAGAGACTTGGTGTTGTTTCAAAACAAAAGGAAATATTGGTATCAGCATCGGCTATCGGCCAAAATCATTTGAAAAATATTGGCATTTCGGATATCGGCAAAAATCAAATATCGTGCATCACTAGTTACATCCTAACTCAAAATGGTCGATCCAGGACCAACAAAGGTGATCTTACTCCAAAACACCACCGTACATTTACATATTTGTGCACACATGAATAATCACAGTGCAATTACCCATCTCCTCCATCAGAGGATGCAGCAAACTACTGCAATCTGACATGCTTGCAAATGCTATACCACATCACTCCAACAGTGCGAACCATACACGTGAAGCAGCTCTTTAAAACGTCAAACTACTGCAGTGTGCTTGACTGCACATTTGTATACAGTATATGCTCTGCTATATCATTCTTCTTTATAATTTTATGAAATACTTTTGTCATTGTCAACAGAGCATTTAAACTAACATCTCCTAAAGAAAAGTCTGCCTTTTTTACCACCCGCAGACAGGACATAGTAAAAAAAGGCATACTTTTACATAAGAAAACATTTTACATATGGTTAGACTGATTATAAATGGTTAATTAATAAGACTGGCTGCTAAAATCCCACACTAAAGTTGTGAAACTGTTTAATTAATTTGTACTGCTTGAATGTGAATGTGTATATAGGCATTATAGCATGTTTGTTTGTGGATGAGGGCATGGTCGGGCAGAGACGATTTCTGTCTCTAGTGTGTCACTATTAATAAGAGACAGCCGCCCATCCTGACACACACTCTCAGTGCCTGTCTGTCTCTTTAAGCAAACCGCCCCTCAGGTCCCGCTCATTTCACATGCTGTATTTGCAGAGTGCCAAGAGACTGGAAATTACACTGAGATAAAGCAAAACCGCAGTGATGTCAGAAAGAAGAAT